AAACGACAGATCCGCATGATTTTTCTTTTCCAATCCAAATTGGGCAGGAGTGCGACGGAAACGGACCGGGATATCAACGATGACTTAGATCTGGGTACGATGAATCAACGCACAGCACAGTGGTGGTTTGAAAAATTTCGTACCGGTGATGAGAGCCTGGAAGATGATGAGCGCCGTGGGCAGCCATCGGCCGTTGGCAACGAACAATTGAGAGCGTTAGTGGAAGGGAATCCACGTACAACGCTGAAGGATATTGCCTCAAGATTGAGTGTTTCCAGCAGGACGGTTGGCATCTACATGCAGGAGATCGGGAAGTAGAAGAAGCTTGATAAGTGGGTGCCGCATGAGTTGACTCAGCACCAGAAAGACCGCCGCTACGAGCTCGCCTCCGCCTTGCTTCTGCGCAACAGGAACAATCCATTTTTAGACCGTATTGCGACGTGTGATGAGAAAAGGATTCTGTACGACAACCGGCGACGATCAGGCCAGTGGCTGTACAAGGATCAAGCCCCACGACATTTTCCCAAGCCGAAGCAGCATGGAGAGAAGGTCATGGTGCTGTTTGGTGGTCTGCAGTCGCGCTGATCCACCACAGCTTCATGGATCCGGGAGAAACCGCAACAGCCGAAAAGTTCTGCCAAGAAATTGACGAAATGCATCGAAAAGTCCAGCTCATGAGCCCGGCACTGGTGAATAGGAGGGGGCCAATTCTACTCCACGACAACGCTCGGCCTCACGTCGCACAACTTACCCTGAGAAAATTGATGGAGCTAGGCTATGAAGCTCTCCCGCATCCACCATATTCCCCAGACCTTGCTCCCATAGACTACCATTTCTTTAAACATCTAGACGCTTCCTCAAGGAGAAATGCTTCAAAACCCAACATGATGCTGCCGCGGCATTCGACGATTTCATCGCCTCTAGATTTCCGGACTTCTATGCGAATGGGAAACTCGAACTTGTTTTTCGTTAACAAAAGTGTGTCGATAGTAATGGTTGTTATTTCGACTGATGAAGTTTCGTTCAAGCCGAGATATATGCATTTGAAGTTTGAGGCGCAAAACCGCAAGAACTTTCTTCACGACCTAATAGTGCTGACCGAATCAACTTATTCAGCAGCTAAACGACGACAAAGAGAGGACTTTACGTGACGTGAGTAGTAATTATTTGAGCCTCCATTCCTTCGAAATGGGAGGAGGTGGTGTAGTGGCAATTGGCGCACTATATCACACGCACGGTCAGGGGCTCGAATCCCGGGTCGATGCCCGCCTAGACCAACCAAGTCTTCCATCCCTCCGGGGTCGGTGAATTGGTACCAGACTCGTCTTGGAGGATAAAAGGACTTGTACATCGGCTAGCCACCGCAAGTCATTGTATAGGCCACATACGCACTCATTACGCCACTACGATTCTGAATGGAAGTCGAGTGCGTAGGGCGCATCCCTCAGACGGGATTGATTAACGCCGAAAACTTCATCCTTTATCCTTTATCCTAATATCTCAAGAATACGGTTGTCTGTATTAAAGTAAAGGCTATCAGAGAGTTCCTGGTCAAGTTGGTGCCAGAACCGTTGACGATTGCCTTCTCAAGCTCACTGATAAATCAGACTGCTTGTTTCATTCATGAATCTCCTTTATAATGGATATCCATACATTTTCCGTTGAACTCATGTCAGAGCTGTTGGCCGGCCAATGGAAAAGGCGGAGTTGGTGACCACTAAGCCGGACCTGGGTGCTACGGCTGACGTTAATCGGTGCATTGTTCTGCATAAATACAAGGTTCTGCTGCCGATTCTGACACCACGAAGGAAGAGGAGCACGGCGCATTACGACTGGATAACCGGAACTATTGAGCTTCTTCGGAACAAGCCGTAAATGAAGATGTTAACGATAAGAAGTTGCTACCCATACCATGACTCTCGTTCCTTGAAATTTCGTCTGAAGACTAAAGCTTATTCTTTCCCAGATCGTGTCTGTAGAACCGGCTTCCATCTGGGGCATCCTAGTTGGACTTTCTTCATCGAAAAAAAAAACAGCTGGAAGAACAAAACATCAAGAAAAAGAATAGTAAACGGCCAGCCATCGAAAGGGATTCCTGTCGGTTTGGATGCAAATCCTGGTGAAAGCGACGCGTTTGTCGCGATGCTTCGGTCATGAAGGATGCTCCCCTTTCGTCAACGATAGATAAACTCAGACTTTTTCTGTCACGTTCTAGACCGTAATCCTTGGGACAGTGAGCTTTGAAGAGGGCTTGGTTTTCGTCGTATTCAACGTTTTTCTCAAAATCCTTTGCTTATATCCTTCTACAAGTAACAAAAAACGTCCCGTACTTTTTTTGGTCCCATACTGAAATGATGAAATTGTCGACAAATGAATGGCATCGGCTCAAATCTCCAGCGATTTTGCGATTTGACAGTCCCTCTTCATCTTTTGCAGAAATTCGTTACTTCTTCAAGATTGAATAGCAAATTGACTTCACCCATTACCTAAAATTGGAAAGCTTGACACGATTCAAGCAATTGTGTGTGGTGAAATTGGGAAACGATCTGAAAATATGAGGTGGCTGTATTATTCGGCAACATAGGTGAAGTAACGTTCTCTAAAAAAGTGAGGAGGAAAATCATCTATACTATTTAGCTGGAATTCGTTGCTGGTCAGCAAGTTACGGTCAGAGAAGGGCACTATTCCCATGTTAGGCCTTTTTCTGAAGTGCCCTAGAACGTGAGCTCCGGTGAAATTCATGGGTGGCTGTATCAACAGTGGACGCAGTGTAGATCTCTTATTGCGCTCTTCGCTTGCCTTTAGCTACTAGATACAGCCTACTATTTTCGTTATATGAAATTCATGGAGACCTTTTCCCCAGAACTTTTTCTGAACAAAAGACATTGAGGTGATTCATGGTTTCGGCCCTCACGAATTTTCTTGTCACCATTTTCTTTCTTCCGATCCAAAATCGGCGTTTTTGGTGCAAATCACAAGTTTTCGATAGCCTGACACTCCCTACTGGGTGTTCCAGACTTCACTGTTGCCCTGCATTACTGGCTATACCGCTATGATAATGTTTCATGTGGGTGCATTGCTTGTTATCCACTGTTACATGGAACGGAAACAGGAACATGTGACATCTTCTGATGCTAAAATATATCTTTCCGAGTGTCAGCTGTTAATGTACTATCGAAGATATGCGATATTAGTATCATTCTTATTGTTAGAAGTGATGATCAAATCATAAGACAGCTGTGTTTATGCCAATGAAAAAGCTGCGGTTCGGAGGGCATGCAACCTTGATATCAAGAAGTGCAGATAGCGTCAAAGTTAAAGTGATTCTGAAAAGTCGATTGACGTCGACCTTATTGCATCCTACATCAACCATTAGCATGCTACGGTATCGCTGTTAACACGAAGGGAGAACCTAGTGGCTATAGCCTTCTATGGCTGTTATCAACCCCTGTCCCTGAACATCTACGGCCCCTTCTTAATCACTATCAACTACTGAAGTGCTAAGGTTCCACCGATAACATTGAGGAGGTAATGGATGCCGCGGCTCTTGCCCTTTAAGGCCGTGTGAACGGATACTATCCTGCCATCTGCCATGGATGCACGAATATTTCCATCCTGCCGCGATGTACTCCTACCAAATTTGAACACTCTAGGTCTACACGAACAGAAGTATGATTTTCCGGTCGAACACACATCGACACAGACATATGTACGTATATGCACACACAGAAAAACCAAAAGATACGCGTAGCGAATTATATATGGTAGGATTGCACTCTGTGAGCAGACACTCTCTAAACATTTTCGTCAGTGAAGTATTTAGCAGATTAAAGCTTATATAGGGTCGTGAACCCTGGTATCTTTGGAGTAATTGGTGTAGTTCTGCTGTTAGGATTACAGGATTTTAATCAAAAAGGCTTCAAATATAATGTAATCAGGAAGTCAGAAGTTGTCTACAAATCACGTGATTCCCGCAATACAGTAGATTATTCTTGACACAAGAAAACCTCACAGCACCAGAGGGATCCCATCAACATTATCTGTCAAATCTATCAAGCTGCAGAATGAGAGCAGCATAGACCGACGTCACTAAGCACGGTTTTGGAAATGAAAACATGCAAACATGCGATAGGAAGTGATTTCTCAAGTCATGAAAAAATATGTGGTTAATAGAGAATCTTGTCATACATTCTTCCCGCTAACTAGTTTCTTGCACTCAATCGTATGGTCCCGAGATGAATTCCCGGCTCGACACACTCAAAGGCCAACCAGGTAGTGGAATTGAGCTCCCTCTAATTTAGTTTATTGTTGCCCCTTCACATCCTAACTTTGGCACTGTCTTATCTCTCCGATTTAATAGTTGTCTTGCTACGTCTAGGGCAATTGTCGCAACACAAAACAGAGAAGTGCGAGGAAAGATGGACCGAAAAATTTATTGAATGAAAATTTCTTTTCGGTTAAAGTATTTATAACCGGGACATGAACGCAAGATACAAATCAGACACTTGGTTTCGGAGATCACAAGCTAGAACTGACAGACATCGTTATCACACATGTAGAGCGTCAATACTCCGGCCACCTTTTCCTCTTTTTCTCTTAATGAACTTCCTTCCCATCTGATCATAGACGTGTTGCCGCGATTGAGACTTTTTTAATGTGGGAATATGGTCCTGAAAAGATAAGGAATAAATATCGTTTTGTCGTGGGCTGTATCATCTCGTTGGAGAAGTCCGTCCAGTTGAAAACATACTTTCGTTAGTCTGACCAGAACTGCCTCGTCGATTTGTCGCGGGGGCTACTCGATCATCGTTTCCAAGGGAGGTGCTGAAAACTTAAGACTTGTGGAGAATATGGAAGTAGGAAACTCGAAGGAATGGCAATCCCCGATAAAACACATTTCTCAAACGCATTCGCCTGTTCCACTAGTGGAACCGGTGTCGTGACTTCCTATTCTCTCGAAGTGATGATTAGGTAGCGTGAACGAATTTCCACGAATTTGAATGGCACCTCATCACTCAACAAGAAAACTTACCATGTGTCAATTGACTCCCAACTTACCGTCTTGCCGAACCATGATTGGTTATGGAAGGATTGATTGTGGTGGGAGAAGCAGGTGGGTTGTCGGCCTCGCAGCTTTTGTACCTTTGTAGCGGGGGTCGCGGTCCATTTTGTTTCCTGAAAATGAACTTTGCTCTCGGTTTTTAGACTCTCTACTTCACTAGGTGCTGCTTTCTCTATTGCTCTTTGATCGATGTAGCATGACCGAATAATGTGCTAGCTGGCATGAAGGGTGCTAAAATGTCAAATGCTCTTCGACAATTTGCGAACAAATCCTCTCTACGAGACTTACGGAAACGGCGGTACCACTCACTTCACGCCCAGCATGACAGGTCATTGATGATTAGCTTCTTTCTCAACAAGAACATACAAAGTCGCAGAGATTTCAACAGAGCAGCAGGATTACTCGAGGGACGCGTGTAAATGTTTTTCATGCTGAGTTTAAAAGACTGGTACCTATCCCTGACGGATCATCCCATCTCATGCTCGAAGGATCTTAAATGGAAGACAGGTAATGTTGACTGACGAATTCGCCGACCTTGCTACTTAGCCGTTCTCAAACTGAAAAAAAAATGCTGATTAGTGGACCTATACTTGACGGCACTCGCAAAGTGTGTTTTCCACAATACTGATTTCCCTGATGAAACTTAGGTATGGTTGAGTTGCCTGACATGATAAAGTGGGTAGTGCGGCTTGGGTTCATAAAAGATAAGTTGCTTACGAAGTAGCCTACAATATTGAACTAGTGGTCATTAGTTAGAGAGCCACCCTCTCCGTACCCCTGGAAGGGTACGGAGAGG